TAAAAAAATGTATACACCCAATATCTTTTAACTGCTCGCAATATCTTGAACAAGGTCTAGCAAGTGCAATACCAACGAACTTTTGTCACAGCAATCTTAGAAATGACTTTTAGAAATATCTTGTTTTAAACAATATCTTAGAAACGACTGTCAGCAATATCTTAAACCAGGTCTTGGTCAAGCAAGTGACTTACGTGCTTATCATAATGGAACAACAAGGCTAGCAAGTGACTTTATGTGCTTCTCATAATGCAATATATTCTGAGTACAAAGTTCAAAAACACAATAATTCATTTACGCGCTTATCAAAATGCAAGGTATTCTGAGTAAAATGGCAAATGACTTTTACGTGCTTGCAAGATATTCTATGAGTATAAAGTCAAGAGAAAGGAAAGAAAAAAAGAACAGCAGTGACATTCAGTGGTATGCATTAAAATTCACAACAATATTGCCAATAGAGGTTTATTGTTTTGAAAACACAGACGATGAGAGAGTAAAATTTGATGATGGCCCTTATGTAGTTAACCTTCCAAAGATGATAACAGATAACTAAAAAAATAAATGAGTAGAAGATCAAAGAAGGAACTCATAGGTTAGGCATACAGGATAGCAAAGAAAAGCCGAATTGAGATTAAAAAAATTACAACAGCACCGAGATCATCATAACAACCCTTTGCTCTGATACCAGTGCAAGCAAAAAATTGATGGAGCGCAAGATCAATCTGATATTAGAGAAGACATGTCGTGAGGCTGGTTATCTACGAGCCTGGATTTTTCTTGCCCTTTTGAGGGAGAAGATAAGGAGTCCTCTGTTTTACAAATGAAACTATGTGTACCCTTTTATTTATTTATTTATTTTTTTATTTTTCTGTTCTTCCTCTCTCAGGTTTCCCTTTTTATAGGGAGAAGAAAAGTTACAAGGGTTCCCTGATCTCAGGGATATACATCCAACGTTCATATGGACGTTGGTTCATGTGAACGTTAGATGCGATAAATATAGGATTTCTCCCACAATTGTAGGTTTCCCAGCCCACAATTGCAAGTAAAGTCACACGAGACCTTATGGCCATACATGCTAACACTAATTGCATGTGTATGTGGCTTAGATGTTACGGTTCCTTTGAAATGAGGGCGTATTTGATCGGGCTACGCACCATCATCATATGGTATGATCTAGGATGAATTCATGGTTTACCCAATTACAAAATTCAACTTATATTTTGCCTTATGAACGTTTTTCATGTATGGAGGGGTGACTCATTTTTTGTCCTATGGCGGCTTTATAAGTATCGTGATACAACAATCTTATTTTGATGCATAAAAGCTCAGGCAGGGCATGCCTATTTTGTATTTTGAGGACCTTTAACAATCTTATTTTGATGTGTAAAGACTCTTGAAGATCTCCTTTTGATGTACAAAAGCTTTTGAGAGGCATATTATTTTGACATATAAAGAATAATTTTTGAGATTTGCATTTTGGTGCAAATTTGGCTAATAATGGAGTCTAAGATGCTTTTGATCATTAATAGTATTTGTGGAAACTGAATATATTATTATTAAGTAACAAATATAAAATGACAAAAAGCCATACTACAACTCTCTTGTGCTCTTTGATTACTTGCTTCCATCGCTATTACTTCATGGTGTTGTTTTATGAAATGGGATAAATAAACCACTAAATTAGAAAGGTATTAAACCAATAGCATGCAAAGGAAGCTTAATGGAGGCTGAAATCTATGGCCATATTAGAGTCTCATTCGCTTCCAAATCTTCAAAATCAATTCCTTGAAGCCGCAAATTTTGATCTTAACATTGCATCCCACTACAAATTTTATTCATGATTGTTATTCATATGACCACCAATTTCTTAATTACCATTGTAATCTCCTTAGAAAACCATGCATGAATTCATTATTCCAACATAACTGCAATAGTTCAAAAGCAGAAACACAATTATAAGGGAAAATGGAAAATAAATGTCCTAATAAAAATCCATATCTACTAATCAATGAACTAAAAAAAATAAAAATCCATATCTACTAATCAATGAACTAAAAAAAATAAAAATCCATATTTACTAATCAATGAACTAAAAAAAAGAAAGTTCAGAAAATAAATCTATAAATCATTAGAAACGTTGACTCTAAGTTTCATATAAATCTATAAAGTTTCTCTCCCCCCCCCCCACCACACACACACTCACACTCACATCATAACAATGTATGCTCCAAAATGAATACCTACTCTTCGAAAATAAGAGAAAAAGAAAAAAAAGAATAGAAAATGAAATAAAAAAGAAAAGAAATCATCTCTACCTATTTACTAAAATACTTTTAATATTTAAAGAAATCAACATCCAAAGAGAGAGGGGAGAGAGATTACTTAAACTTATCCAAAAAGATAAAAAAGAGCTTCTTTCTCCACATGTTAAAAAAATCCTGCAATTTAAAAGAGAATAATAAAACCTAATTCTCTAATGATACAATGAAAAATATATGCAAATGAACATAAGATAAATAGAAAAGCAATAAATTACAAAATAATCAAAGACAAAAAACCAAATTTCGTAACTACTTTTATGGATTTTAATTCAGGAAACAAACGTAATTCCGAAATATGATAATTTTCAACAAAAATATTTGATAGTTTTCTCTGATTTGGGTAGCTAAAGCTCTGATTTTCCCTTATATCTTGCAAATCATGGATTTTAAAGAGGCAATAGGCACGTAACATCAAAGCGCAAAAAAAAGTTCAATGAGCAGGAGCGGAAAACCCAAGGGGAGCATGGAAGATAACTTGGTACTAAAATTGTGAGCTTCTTCTTGAGTAAAACATCATCTTCAATGGAAAAGGTTGCAGAAGCATGAGAAGATTGGCTATTTCCATGACCCTCGTTCATTTACCAAACCAAAAACCTAAAATCCCACATCTCAACTCCAATTGAGAGAGAGAGAGAGAGATCTTGTAGGAAACCTAGAGAAAAAGACATAACAAAAAAGGGATTTTTTTTGAGTAAAATGGTTTTGGGGGATTGAAATCAGCGGCAATTTATGGAGCTCCACCAGATTGGTGGAGGAAGGAGAAACGAGGAGACATTTTAGGAAGAGAGAGGTTAATAGAGGATTGGACGCTCAATATTTGGTGTCAAAATGTTTTGGGTGCAGTTTGCATTAGGATGCATCCGTAGGTGTACAGTTAAGGTGCACCTTCAAATTTTATCATGGTATATAATTTTGATGTAAAATGTTTTTAGGATTATCTCAAAATCTATTTTGATATCTAATTATAAAAATTTAAATTTAAAAAATGCTTAAAATCAAGTAGATCTATAAACCTATGAAAATCTTTTTTACTTTTTATAGTCATACATCTCGATGTAGAGAGATCAATCAAAAGGTCTTTCAACATTAAAACTACCTTTTTCGAAGGATTTTTGAGTGGCATCCGTAGTTCTACATTATAAGGTAGCATCGTTATATAAACTTTTTCCAAATGTTTTATATAACAAATAGTAAAAATAAAATAGTGTAGAGACGTGCAATTGTGATCAGGACAATCTTGGCCCTCCATTCAGAATGTACGGTTGGATGAGGGGAAGTATATAAGTTTTATGTTGTAGGGGAAGCATAGAAAGCTTGCCCTTTTCTTTTTGTTGTTACAAAAGGTACATGGGTCAAATTGAAAAATAGGATGGTCACCAGTTGAATGGGTTAGCCTGTAAGGGAGAGATTTGATATTGAGATTGGAAGCAGTTGAGGACTAAAACCGCCTTAAACCCGTGTATTGAAAATATTCATGGTCATTCACTTCATAAAATGATCATATATCTTATGTAATATCGCATTTGAACGTTGTTTGATCATATATCTTGTGTAATACCGCATTTGAACTTTGTTAGTCACTATGTATACTATTATATGGTAATTAATAATTGTATACATGGCTTTTAAAAGTTGATTATCATCCATTTGAAAAATCGGGTCGGATCGATAGATCAATGGTTATGATTGGAGAATTAGCCAGATCGGTAGGGTCTAATTTTTAAAAAATAAAACCAAAAAATAATAATATTATAATATTTTTTATTATGATATTTATTAATTTGTCATAATATTATATTAATGATAATAAAATGATATTATATTATTATACAGTTGTTATAATTTTGATATTATTATATAATTATTGGTGCATTATTATTATTATTTAATTTTGTTTATGATATTATGAGTGTCAAAATAAGATTTGAATTGTCTAATTTCTTTATTATATTATGGATATCTTATTTGTAAGAAATCATTTCTATTGGACTTATACTACCGTAGCTGGTTTAACAACAAATTTCTAAAACTTTATTTTCAAGTTAGTATACCTCGACAACGGATTTGTCATGTATTCGGTTTTTTAGAAGCTAACCAAGTATTGCTAAAATCAAGTTTTACATATGTTAGAATTTGCATACTCAGGTTTTGACATATATCTAAGATTTGTGTATCACCTAAGCGATCCATAAAAGAATATAGATAGAACGAATGAAAAAAGATGTAGTGGCTTTCGGTTTTACTAAGGATGTGGTCCTTGATAGAGGAAAATGGATGAACATGATTCATGTAGCCGACCTCAAATAATTGTAGTAGCGTTCGGATGATGATGATAAACGAAAAAGTCAAATTTAATTTGTTATTTAAAATAATAATTTGGTGATTATTAAGGAAAGGCCAAAATTTAATATCACACCAAATCTCCCAAGCAAGTTTTTTTTGTTTGCCTAAAAGGTGTCATGTACAGTATAACACCGCGGGAGCATTGCAACTGTGCTGATTAATTAGAAGTATAAAATCGTCTCATAGATGCACAAATGGAAGATTCAGCCCTTCTGGTTCGCGGATTCACCGCTCCTTTAAAAAAGAAACCCTACCTTGTCTTGTCTCCTTTGGTACCACTTAAAACCCTAATCAACTGCACGACCTTTTCTCACTCACTGCTAAGGTAAGGTAAGAAGCTTTTCTTCTACTCTTCGTCTTCCTAGCTTTTCTTTTATTTCATTTCGTAAACTTCCTCTCAGTCATTGCTAAGCTTCTCTACCTATCGATCTATGCTCTCTTTCTCTCTATATGTTCTTCCTCTTCCAGTCTCTTGGTACAGTATATCGATTACATGGATGGAAGCTGCATTTTGTGCATCACTTTTTCAGTTTAGTTTTGAAATTAGGGCTTTTGATGCAACTTAAATGGTTGCATGGGTTACACAATGCCCCTACTGAAAAATCATGATGGTTTTCTTTTTGCATACGATTAAATCGCACACAGCCTTTTGTTGGTGTGAGTTTGGGTTGCTACTGATGGATATTTTTTCTTTTGTTTTTTTGGATTGTTGAGCATTCTAATGTTATTGATTTTAATGATACCCTTATTTTCCAATGTATTTACTTTGTCTTCTTTATCTTTATTTTCTTTCTCTTGACTTTGGTTTTATGCTATATGCTACTTTTGTTTGTTAAACTACATGAAAAAAGGAATTTTGTATGTGATTGGAAAGAAAGGGAAAAAATGAGGATAATTGGTGTTTTGAAATGTTTGACTTGGCTCTTTTAATTTGGTTCTTTGAATTCATTGTTTCTTATTGCTTAGTATACATTAATAACAATCAAGTCTTATGATACTTAAGAAAATACTCAGTTAACAATTTTAAAAAAAAAGATACTTAAGAAAATACTCTAACCTAGGATGAGTCTGGGAATGTTTGTTGAAACAAAATTTTTATTTTATTAATACACTCAATGGAAGTTATTTAGTCTCTTGTAAAATTGTCAGTAATGGTTTAAATAACAAGGGGACTTCCTATTGATATACCAGCTTTTCCTAGAGGAATAATCTTAGAAGGTGATAATTAGGACCGTGAACATGGGATTAGAATAATTAAATGGCCTTGTAACAATTAAATTTTGCTGATAGTACAAAAGCTTCTACACACGTGTAACTTTTTTTTTTCTCCCTTCTTTTTAATGGATCCACCTGTACATGTTTTACTTGTCGACATACATACATATGCACATGAATGTGTACATTGACAGATAGGAACACTTGCATGCATACCCATCCAATGTATGTGTTTGATGCAGCAATTATTGCACGTAAAAATACGATATTGTCTGGTTGTTGATTTGCGTGTATACTGAAAATATGGAACGAAGTTCGAACATTGGAAGCAGTAGGTAGTTTAAGGTCAGGTTTTTGTTTTTTGGGGGGGAGGCATACTGCTAGCATAGAATGGTGGACAGGATTTAGGACAATGGAATGAATTTTTTTGTTTTTGCTTTTTCTTTTTTGATTGTTAATATAGGATTTGTTTGAACTTTTGCATTGGGTTTGAGTTGTGGCTGAGCAGTACTCATGTTTCTTTTTTCCAAACCGTAGTTTTTAAACCTTTTCCCACAATTTCATTTTTTGAAGTTGTGCAGAAAACATCAGAGTCGATCCAATATTAGAAATTTGAAAGTTTAGTTAGAAAATCTATCATAACGACTACCTACATTCCACATAATTGGGCACCATAAATAGCAGCTAATGAACAGTCCTCCGATACCATAGTAACACATCACAATCCCTTGTGGAGAAAAAAAAGGATTTGCTGAGATGAAAATAAGGATATCAGATTCCTGCCAAGATAACTGGAAGTTCCAACCAATAAGAACCCTAGTGAACCTAAAAAAAGTATACAGGCCCTACATAAATTACTTGTTTTTCGAGAACCTGTTATAGGTTGTATCCATATACATTCTGATCGCTAGTTCATACTATATCCAGTTGCATTCTATTGAAATTGAGACAAGGACAAAAATTATTTTACTCTTTTGGATCCCGGAGTTACTCTCCTCAACTAGCATTATCATGAGTGAACTATTAGAAACAACTCATCGAATCAGTTAGGTATTAGGTATAAATAACCCTTCCTTCATATGATCCCACTATGTATGTTTTTACACCAAATTTTGGTGTGATTTTGGCCTTTAAGTAGTGAGTAATGTTTCTCAGGTGGTTTCTACTGTCGTGCTACTTAATGATCTGGGAATGGGGGTTAAAATTAATTTTGGTCAAAATTGTGAATCTTGACTGATGCCTGTATCTTTACACTCATACTACACTCATACTCAATCCTTTGCTGTAGGAGTTACCCCTTTCTTTGTTTATTCTTTGTTCCTTCTTAATGAGGATGACCTCTTAAATTTTTCTTTTCCATCCTAAACCTTAATTAACCCTTCTAAACTAATTCTTTTGAAAGGACTTACCAAAAAGTAAGGAAAGAAACATTGCTCATCCTCTACCCAATTTCTCTAATGCATGACACATAGAGCCCCCCCTTTCACCATTTTTTATGAAATAAGCCCTTAGGCCCTCAGTTCTTCCTTTTCCCTTGAGTGCTTCTGAACAGATTTTACGAGCAGTTTCTGAAATTAATTTAGAATATTTGATGAAATACCTTATTTATTTATTTTTTTTGGGCGAGGAATCGGTGATACTATGAAGTTCTGAGGGTTAGGTATGTGTCTAGTTGTGGCAGTGCACTGTCCAGGCTGTGTTCCTTTCATTAGATATGATGAAAGTATGACGAGTAAGATATACGAGATCTTTTTGGTCAATAATAAATTTAGGATATACTCGCTGTTAATAGAGAAGAAGGATGGAAGATTATCACAAGCATATAAGGGGGTCATGGGAGAATGGGTCTGAAATCACTTGTGGCCCTTTTCAGGATAAGGTTTGGCCTTTTACTGGAGGTTTTCTATGGCTTACTTGAGGGCTTTGTAGCTCAGTTGAGCTTTCAAAGACCTCCCTACGTAACTTCCAAAAGCTAAACTTTACGGCTCAATGTAAGGCAATACAAGGGTGGTCCTTCTCTATTGGTGGTTTGCTTGGAGTGGTGAGCTCTATTTTGGCCACATTTTTGTTCTATGAACACATTGAACTTTGTTTTAGAATGCTTTTTTTTTTGGGGGTGCCTCACAACAGTTTTAGGTAAGATATTGGGGATTAGGTGAGCTCAAACGCAAGGGAGCTTTTCCATGGCTGGATAGTCCATGCAGTTTGTTGCTGAACTTACTTATCAAGGCCTGTAACTGGAGACAGTAACAGAGTAGAGGTATGTCTCCCTCCTTGAGCTGTGAATATGTCATACTATTTTATTCATTATCAATAAATACTAAGTTATAAATGTTGATACTAGTCTTCAAGTAGTGAAAAGTAATGTAGTATAATCATCATTTTGATTATATTGTTATTGAAATATTATTATTCATGATTTTATGCATTTTATGTTGATATTGTGATATTATTCTTGGAATTTGAAATGGATAAGTGTTGGAGACTTTGGCATATTGTAATTTGCATAATTCGTTTCATGGAATCCCCTTTTGATGGAAAATTGTGCTTCAAAATTTCCTTTTCTCATGAACCTTTTTTACCCCCAAGTAACCAATGTTTTTGCGAGAGAAAGTATATACTTGGTAACTAGGAGTGTAGACAATGGTGACATGTACTAAGACAGGTGAAAGACACGAAAATAGATACAATTGATATAACAGGAAAAGAGGTCTAGGGTGATAGAATCCCCAAATCGCAGGGTGCTGAGACCACTCCTTCCTTGGCTAATTGATCTGTCATCTCATTTGCTTTGTTGCAAATATGACAAATGGAGTGTTGGGAAGAGCTTCTCCAATAGAGAAACTCTTACACAGGATTAGCAAGTCACCTGGGAACTGGGGTAAGTTGAATCTTTGTAACCCATTTGGTGACATTGGGTAAGTCTATACAACCAAGATGCTTGAAAGAGTCGTGGTAAATGCTTTCGTTTCATCGGATGAAGGAGCTTAGCCTCATTGAAGTGCAAAAGCCGCTTACGCTAATACCAATCCAATTCAAAAAGCTAAGGTAAGAACTTGCATAGAGATTCTAGGTGCTTCTCGTACTGTTGGGTAGTCTCCCTTAAAACAGTTACCGATTCTGGAATTGTTCTCTCATGAATGGGGAAACTTAAACAAAGGTGGAAAACGACAGTGAAGGTGGTAGACAATTGCTGACAGTGTTTCAAAAAGTAGACCGCCCAGCTCCTAGGCGGTTCAGAAGGCCTGGGCGCATCGCCCAAGCCTAGGCGGCAAAACGAGGCGGTGGTCCATGGGCGGTCGCCCAGGGCCTGCGCCCTGCCCAGGGGCGAAAATGACTTTTTTTTTATTCGATTTAGTTTTTTTGAAAAATAAAAGCTTTTAAGGGTGGGTTTTAGGTTCATTTGAAACCTAAACCACAAGAACCACTTTAGAGTGAGAGAAACCTAAAAAAAAAACTGAATTTTGTGATTTTCATTGGATCAAAATGTTTCTCAAAGTTACGAAAAATGGATCCAAACATCACCCAAGTATATTAGATTTAGTTTTGGAGTTTTTTAATCCTATTAGAGGGATTTTTTTAATATTTTAGCACCACGAAACATCTCAGAGGTGGAAGTTTGGAGTTCAAGCAATCAAAGTAAATGCAAAACTTTATTTTCAAGATTGGTTGTTTTATTTTGAGATGTCTTCTTTAAGATCTAGTTAATCCGAATCCAAATGACAAAAATTGTGTTAGATGCAATTATTATGAAAAAGATACAAAAAGGGGCATAAACCGGTTTAGGAAACATCTTACTGGTGTTGAGGGGGATGTTGCCCCTTATAAAAATGTTCTTGAAGCTATCAGAGAGGAGATTAAGCAATATATGAGTTCTGTAAAATAAAAACAGGAACAAAATCCTTGTCATTTGAGTAGATCTATTTTTGGTTTTGCTAGAAGAAGTGATCCGGGTTGGAAGTATGGTCCTGACCTGAAACTATGAGATACAAATTGTATAAGGTGTAATTTTTATGAAAAAGATACCAATGGGGGTGTTAACCGATTCAGGAAAGACCTTGAAGGTATTAAAGGGAATGTTGCTTCTTGTAAAAAGGTTTCTGAAGCTATTCGGGGATGAGATTAGACAAATTCTGAATTTAGAAGAACCAAAAAATAATGAAAATGAACTTTGTTTTATGGAAAGATCTTCTCCAGGATCTTTTAGAAGTGGTGATCCTAGTTGGAAGTATGGTCATAACCCGAATCTGAATGAAAAAAATCGTATTAAATGTAATTATTGTGGAAAGAATACTAATGGAAGAATTTACCGGTTCAAAAAACACCTTACCAGTATTAAGGGGAATGTTGCCCTGTGTAAAAATGTTATTGAGGCTACCAGGGAGGAGATTATACAATATTTGAGTTCAACACTAAAATATAGAAAAAGGTAGAGCGGCCAAGACTCCTAGGGCCTCATCTGCACATAGTAAGAGGGAGGTAGAAGAAGAGGAGGAGGATGAGGTAGATTCAGAAAAAACAGAGGTGGTGAACCTTAAAGCTCCTTTAGTAGCTGTACGAGGCAATAGATCTGGTGAAGTGAACCATTTGAGTAAGATATTGCGAGTTACTTAGTGATCATAATACCAGTTGCATGGCAAGGGATTCTCTTTGTGATGAATCACTCATCCCTACATGGGGAAGTCTTCGTAATCACACCCATAATATCTCCGAAGATGCCCGTGACCCCTGCAGATCTAGGCCTGAAGGAGATTTCATGTAAATTTCGCTTGATGGAACCAAGTTGTGGAGGCATGTGATGGGTCATGGTCTAGGCTTTTGACACTTTCCTTTTGCTTTTATACCTGTTTATTTCTTGTAATCCTTGATGCTTTCAGAGTCAGGGAGGACCAATACCATGAAACCACCACATCCCAAATCTACCAACAAAAAGAAGTCGATATGCTTCTCTGCCCCGAGAAAGTCTTCTGCTTCTTTCAGGACCCGTTGGCTATAACCTGAAGTGAAAGCATTTATAGAATAGGGCCTCGGCCACACAGTAATAGGGAATCTAAGCATCTAATATTGGCATATCCCAACTTATCCTAAATAGAGCGTCTTCTCCATGAAGTTTCTGGAGTATTTAATTGTACTATGACCCTGGTGTTCTAGAAATGCTAGTAAACACTTCTGATCATTGTATTAGAAAAATAAACATTGCAGCAAAAAGTCTTGAATGCGCTAATTACCCAATGCAGCTACATTTGGCTATTTATGATTTTATGTGTTCTGGTTGTATCAGATATAGATATGATATCTATATCCTTGTCTTCGTGCATTTTAAGATTGTGTGGATTTATGGAAGGTAATATAATAACTCCTTGAACCAATAATTCTAACAGGATTTTGATCAAGTCTAAGAGTTGGCACATATCCTGTTCTCATATTTATTCCTCTCATTTATGAAAAACAATGATTTTGATATAAAACCCCTTTATTTACCTCTGTCCAGCCAGTTGAAGACGGGATGGATGTCTTGGATCTGCCACTTGAAATATGGGCTTCAATAGCTGTTAGAACAAAAAATGGCATTTGTTCGCTTTGTTCCTCTTCATTATGATTTTTTTAAATAGGAGAAACTTAACAACACATTATTTTGGCATTAGTAAGGACAATGTGTCAAGTCTCAAATAATGAAATTATTACAAATTTTGTGAATTTCTTGCGAAGCAAATATTTAGGTGTGAGAAAGGAAATTAGGAAAATCAATCTCTTAATATTTTACATGTGAAAATATGATCTAAATTGCAGAGTAATTCTTTATAAATGGTGAAATGTTACCAATGGATCAGTTCCCTCGTTTCTTAATGAGGCCTCGAGAAAAATCATAATTTGTATTTAATTTCAATTGTCGTATGTGTATATATACGGAAACATATCTCATAAATGGTCAAACCACCTCACAAAATAATTAACGTGGTCAAATCATCCAATTTAACGTTAGAAAATGGTTACTTTATAAGTTTCATTTCACTTAGGTACCTCCTTAAAAAGATTCTTTGCCCTTATTCAGTTTCTGGAAGGCTGAACAAGCAAGAGTATTTCAATAATTTGGGCCCATGTAAGTGGCCCTGGACAAATGACATGAATACCCCTTCTTGTTCAAACTTAGGAACTCGGAATAAGGGATTCCAAATGAATAAAAGTGAGTTCCGTGTGGCTAAATTACATTGGACCGTGCAGATTGTAGTACACTACCCTGGCTAAATTACCCTTTCTTATTCAGTGTTAGCAACTCCTAACACGAAAATCCAATGGAAAAGAATGAGTTCTGGGTTCTTAAGCTCAAACATCTGAGGATTCATTGGTCGTTTGGCTCATGGCGCCTTGGCCTTTGCGAAATGATGATAAATACACCTGCTTGTTCTGTTTTATGTGCTCTGAACAAGAGATATAAAATGAAAAACATGTTTGGGATTTCGAAGCCTAAGAAGAAGAGGTATTAATGCCATTTGGCTTGGGCCACTAAGTTCGGCTAAATTATCAAAATGCCTTGCTTGTTCAGGCTTCCTAAATCTAACAAGGGGCAATTTGGGTGTTTTAAATAATTTTTTCGAGTACCTGGGTGATATGAAACTTATAGAGTACTCATTCCAATGATAAATTGGATCAATTGACGACCTTAATGATCTGGTTAGGTGTTTTTTTCATTTAAGTAATATTTTTCTTGGATATAACCTTCACTTACATTATGTTACAAAGTGCTGTATTCTAGCCTGATCAGTCTTAAGGTGTCTTCATTTTGTTCTTGTTCAGTTCCTAACCTTGTGTTTCTCTTCAATGTCATTCTTTTGTGTTCTGATGCACACAACATGCAGAGCAATTTAGCCATATATATCCTCAGTCATGTCTTTCCCGTTGACTCCCTCCAAGAGACCCTACGAGTGGCATAATGAGCCAAATGGAAGGGACAGATGGCATAACACTGTGCAGAACTCTCATTCAAAAACTCCTTCAGATTTTACTGTTTTCCGTGTTCTTTGCCTTGCTTCTAAATCTGGAAGTGTGATTGGTAAAGGTGGAACCATTGTTAATCATATACAACAAGCAACTGGTGCAAAAGTTAGGGTTGAGGATACTGTCCCTGGGTGTGATGAGAGAGTTGTTGTAATAACTGGTTCAGAAAAAGATAGAGAAGCAGGCAAAGAGCCTGGCAAAGAAGACGAGGAAGGTGAAAATGTTGCTAATGATGACAATGATGTGAAGAGTAATGATGAAGATAAAGACGATAAAGAATCTGATGAACCCCTTGATGCGCAATCTCAACAGGCTATGTCGTCAGCACAAAAGGCGTTATTACTTGTTTTTGAGAGAACGGTAGAAGGAGAGCATGAGATTGAACAGGAAGATGATACGGATTCTAAGTCATCTCCAATTGTCTTCAGATTCCTAGTGCCGTCAGTCCAGGTTGGCTGTATTCTGGGGAAAGGGGGAAATGTGATAAAACAAATTTCAGCAGAGAGTGGAGCACAGATTCGTATTCTTCATAATGACAAGCTTCCTGCTTGTGCTTGGTCTTCTGAAGAAGTGGTGCAGGTAACAGGATCACCGATCGACTAGTCCCTGCAAATTCTTGTATTCTTAGGGAAAGTATACTGTAATCTATCTTGGAAAATCCGATGGACTATGGGAAACCCATTGTCCAATGTGTTGGCAGTCTCCAACGAAATGATGGATGTGATGGAAAGAGTGGATCCGCCATTGGGGTTATGTCCTTGTTTGGTGGGTCCCTCTCTCTACTTCACTATTTGTCATATCCATGGGTGGTGATGATGCCAATAGACTATGATTTTTTGGTAGTTGGTTGGACAACAGTTTATTCCTCAATTTCTTGTAACAGGATCATCGATCGACTAGTCCCTGCAAATTCTTGTGTTCTTAGGGAAAGTATACTGTAATCTATCTTGGAAAATCCGATGGACCATGGGAAAACCATTGTCCAATGTGTTGGCAGCCTCCAACGAAATGATGGATGTGATGGAAAGAGTGGAGCCACCATTGGGGTTATGTCCTTGTTTGGTGGGTCCTTCTCTCTACTTCACTATTTATCATATCAATGGGTGGTGATGATGCCAATAGACTATGCTTTTTTTGTAGTTGGTTTGACAACAGTTAATTCCTCAATTTCTTTTGCTGGGTTAAAACTTTATGTTGTTAATCTGTAGTATACACCAAGTATTCTTTAGACGGCATTGTATAACATTTTTTGGGAGTATTCTGATTTTATTTCTATAGTACGGCCATCTATCTTGGTGCACTTACGGCAATATCTGGAATTAATTTCCTTTGTTTTTCCTTCCAAGTTATCTTGATAAGGGTAGAATGCAATTTTTGTGAGTGTGTCATATAAATTCCAAATGCACGTACTTTGTCTGTTGCAGATTACTGGGGGATTAGACTCTGTAAGGAAAGCTCTTCAAGCTGTTTCTCAGCAGCTTCAGGAGAACCCGCCTCGTGATCGTGATCCATTTCCCCCAAACAAGCCTTCAGGACCACCCCCTCATTTGTTTGGTTCAAATTCTCACTCAGATCTCTTACCTCCCTCAAACTATCATTTCTCTGGTCAAGGGGGTCCATACCCCCCTGTGCGGGGTGATGACGGTGGCTATCTATCGGGTGCTCCTCCACCAATCCCTAAATTTTATGATGGTTTTAACTCCAGTAGAATGAAATCAACCCCTGAAATACTTACATTTAAATTGTTATGTATGAATGAGAAGGTTGGAGGTGTGATAGGAAAAGGGGGTTCCATAATTAGAGCACTCCAAAATGAGACTGGGGCTGAGATCAAAATTCTTGACAGTGTACCTGACTCAGAGGATCGTGTAATAGTCATATCAGCACCAACGGTAACACCTTTAGGCTTTTGCTCCTTGTGAGAGTTTATTGCATTGGATTGTGGCAGCCTTTTCATTTGGTTTGGATATAGTTTAGTGCTGGTTCTGTTGGACATATTGAACTACTTATAGTTTTGAAATTAATTTATTTTAATGAATGTATTTCATAGTTTTAAGCTTCCATTGCAACTATCTGATGTGCCTATTTGTGTAATTTATTAATATGCAGCATCCAGACGATAGAATTTCTGCTGCACAGGATGCTGTTCTTCGCGTGCAGAGCAGGATTTTTAAAGCAGCACCTGACAGTAAAGAAAAAAACTTGGTCTGTAAGGTTCTGGTACATTCCAATCAGATAGGTTGCTTACTTGGGAAGGGTGGTGCCATAATAGCAGAAATGCGCAAGTCATCTAGGGCACACATTCGTATATTGGCTAAGGACCAGATCCCAAAATGTGCTTCGGATAATGAAGAAGTCGTTCAGGTTTGACTTAAATTCTGTTTCTAATGATCTTTGGGCCTTATGAAGCATCACTTCAAATGTTTACTAAGTTTTCTACAAGATCATGACGTCTTCATTTTTTGACTCTTTATCATTTTTGTATACAATGAGACCATTTATATTTTATATATGGAGGTCGCAATTAGTTATAACCATCCAATGTGAAATCTAATAGCTTGATATGTGTCACAAAGTTCGAGATTTTTTTTTTTGAAGTTTGAGCTTAGTCAATGGAATAAATGTAGGCATCCAATTTCACATCCAATGGTCAAAATTATTTGTGAACACCGTATACCAAAGATAAATGGTCTCATTGTATACTTTTCCTTAATTATTTTCCTTTCTTTTTTGTTTTGCATTCTTTCCATACACAGTAACTTGTTTTAGCAATTGACATATAACTCATTTAGAGAATTGTAAAGCATTTGAATGTCCCATCCGCCTTTTAGTGTTTCAATTGCCGGAATTTGATCTATTATTTTGTTACCAGGTAACTGGAGAATTTGAGGCTGTTCAAGAAGCTCTATTGCAGATCACATCCAGATTGCGCCAACATCTTTTCCGCGATAGATTCCAATCGATTATCAACCATCCACATCATCCTGCTTTCATAGAACAAGTACCACCTCCAGTACCTCCATATATGGGAAGGAGACCTCCTTCACCTCCTGGGATGTATTCCCATATGGGTCCTTCAATCCACAAGTTTGATCTTCCTCCCAACATGGATCATCCTGGCTTTCCACATGGAATTCAGAAGCCAGGATTCCCTCACAGTTCTGAAAGAATGCCACCTCCAGCACCATGGGCACATCAGGTATTAATTCTCTCTAATTCTCTTCAAGGATAACTTTGTATATATCTATTAAGGAAAAAAGGTAGATCAGCTTGTTTGGTGTTTCAGAAGAAATTTCGAAGGTGTGAACTGTTGATTAAAATCCCGGACTTGGGCTTGGGCTCGTTAGGGTCTTGAGTTTCGGAGCTCTAACCCACTGCCTTGTCTGTCTATAAGAAAACATACACTAAAGGGGTATGACTTGGGAGGACTAGCCTGAGTCTCAGGGTATTTTATTTGGTGAGTCCAAGCCTGAGTCGTTGATTCTTTTAATCACTTCTATGAACCCTCGACTTTCCTCACCCAAACCTGGATGTCCACCACTAGGATGTCCACCACTAGGCTGTGAGCCTATATGTATTTAATTGGTTGTTTCCAATGTGTTTTGTTTAAAGTTTCGGGACAATTTCCAGTTTCCTGCATATGTGTTTCAAAATGCTGAAATTTTCACTATTAGATTTTTTGTAAGGGATAACTTGGTTTGGGGTTTTGTTTTTTTTTGTTCTTGAATGGAGTGCAGTTGGCTGTGTATGTCCCAGATTGACTCTTGATTTGGTGACTTTAGGTTTTGGTTAATGAAAGCTGAGGATATAGTGACTTGGACTTTCAAAATATTAGTCCTGAGATGTGCTATTGTGTCAATGGTTGTATTGTGAGGATTGGCCTGGTAAACCTTCGGTCAGGTTAGTGATTTTGTTAAGTGTGGCCGGTTCCCTGGAAAGATGGGCCAAAGGATTGAAATAGAAGAAAACATCCATCCTGAAGAGAACCGAAAAGATGGAAGATAAGAAGAGCCAGGACCTGAAATGCACATTCCATGCTGTAGTGTGTTAAAGCATCCATCAGAATCATTTTTCATGTTTCTACTTGACCATAAAACCAACTAAACGCTGCACTAATTGTACCTTATCCGATCAGTGCATCTGGAAATTGCCAAATGTCTCTTATGACTTTTGGGTTGCATGAAAGCCTAATGCCAGCATTTCCCAGAGCATTTACATTCCATCAGTAAAGTTTTGTTCTGATCTATCAAGCCTTTTTTCTTGGATTACCTGCTCACATACCTTATGATCTTCAATATGTTACTGCAATGCATTCTACAATCTGGACTTTTGTGAACTGTAAGACTTATCTTTAAAATTGGTAGTCGCATTCTTAGATGTGGGATGTTTTCTGGGATTTATTGAGGTTGATCTGCCCACCTTTATCAGATGGCCATTTGTGATACTGTAGTTACCTGTTGATTGATGATTATGATTGCGTAAACATCAGAACGTTGAGTATGTATTCCAGCTTTTCAATTATATATTTAGACGCTAAGTCTGTCACTGATGTTTTGGCAAATGTGGTACTCTCAGTGTTCCCTAGTTTGTGAAATATATTACTGGTGTAATACGTTACTGACGTAATACATTGCCTGGTAATGAATTGTTGTTATTTGGGTAGTATCTGGATACAACTTGGGAAATACATTGTTACTATTTGGCTACGTTTGGAAGAGAACTGGGAAGTGCATTACTGTCATTTTGGCTTGAAAATATTGCATGAATTTTACTTGTAGCAATATGTTATTTTTAATAATATTTTCATTTTTAAGATAAAATATCAATTAAAACTAAAACTACCGAACACATCCTCAATTTATATCATGATATCAATAGTTTACTTAAAAAAAGCCTACGAAGACAGAGACCACTTATTCATGTTCTATGGCAAAACTAGTCAACACAAATTTGATGAGCATATGACCTGAAGTTTGTGAATGGAAAAAATGAATGGGGACACCATTTTCCCAATCTCATGCCGAGACCTGTTAGGCACAAACACTAGATCATTCAATTCAAATGGATGCACTTGCCTATGAACTATAACTACATAGAGCATAACTAGAATGTCAATCACAACCAAAAACAAATAAAGAAATTTCAAGCAATAGAGAGAAGAGAGAGAGAGCTATAAAAATAATATTTTTATTTGATTCTAATTATAAAAATAAAGCTAAAAATTAAATTTCATATTAATATCATTTTTAAATAAAGTTAAAAATAAAAGTATTGTTAAAATGTGGAACGTTATTTTTTCTCTGTCTTTAAGAAATTTATCATAATGCACATCATTTTCTAACAATTTAATATTTTGCGCTTTTTCTAATGTTTCAACCCCAAATTATGTATTTCATGGGCATATTTTCATATTAAATTAAAGCGCATAACTTAAACGGTTGTGTTGGCTTCATTTTGTAGCACGTGTTGGAGGTTGTGATTACACGTGAAGAGAGCGATTAAAAAGTGATAAATATATGTTATATATATATATATATATATATATATATATAGAGAGAGAGAGAGAGAGAGAGAGAGAGAGAGAGAGAGAGAGAGGAGGGAGGGAGGGAGGAGGAGAGTACTATATTAGTTATTAGTTGTTAGTTAGTTAGTTATACTAGTACAGAGTAAGTAAAGTAAGTAAGTAATAATTAGTATTATAGTTAGTA